CTAATGCGTTGAACCGGGATGTGACAAAGCCAGGGACGGCAGGCGCCAAAAGAGATTTGTGAATTTGACGGGGAAGAAAGTAGGTCGGGCGATATAGGAAAGGAAATATTGGAAGGGCGAGTAAGTAAGGGTTCCTGAGGAAAGAACAATCAGAAGTAAAGGGAAAATGTATGGTGAGGGCGGGAAAACGTCGAGTTGGGGGGTAAAAAGAAGTAGCATGATGAAGACTTTAAGAAGGATTTAGAAATGAAAAGAAAAACAAAACGTCGACGATCGCTACGAACCAGTAGGGAAATTACTCACACACACACACACACACACACACACACACACACACACACACACACATATATATATATATATATATATATATATATAAATTACTCATATATATATATATATATATACATATAATTACTCATATATAATTATATATATATATATATATATATATATATATATATATATATATATATATATATATATTCGCAAACCAGAAAAGCAGGGTAATTAAAAGACGACGAGTGAGATGAATGATAAGACAAATCTATAGGTATGCATCCAGGCATTTCGAAGGGCTTATAAAAGATGTCGATGGATGGACATGTTTATGAAAACAGACGGACTCACTCCCACAAGCGTACAATCATACACACATAAGCACACATTTTTTAATGATCATTTTGCCTCAAACAAGGCAATAAATCCACTAAGACGCAAGTGGTTTCTGAGTGCGAGAGAACATGAGAGAAAGAAAACAACATTAGGGAAAGAGAACAGTAAAAGAACCAAGAATTTAGAAGACAGCAGTTAACGAATAAAATTGCATTGAAACTTTTGAAAATCAAAATTGATTGGAAAGCAAGAAGCCGTAAAAGACGGAACTGTTAGCATGGAACTTATTTTTACGTCTAGCCATTTCCACTGTAAAATGATGATACCTTGCCAACAATCTTGTACTGGTATTAAATTCATAAAGTCTAGGTACCATAGCGGATTGTTCTTCAAGACAATTACCATGAAAGTATTTATAGAAAAAGCACAGTGACTCCTAGTTAGAGCGGTGGGAAAGTGACTGCAGACGGGATGCCTGGGCAGGACATATAAAATATCAAATTATTCGTTGGATTTTATCAAGCATCTCTAAATATATAGATGGGGCAGGATACGGGATATGGAAACAATATTCACTATCAGTCGACAGAAAAAAACAAACACACACATCATACATACATATGGGTTGACTCCACATACAGCTCAAATACGAATCGGAATCCGACAGAATGATAAAATAAAGAATAAATAGAAAACGTTTATCCGTCTAATATATTTCCCTTTTATTCTCTGATGAAGCTTTTATAAAAGTGAAACATGTCAGAGTTATAAACGTTTACTGTTTGATCTTTATTTTATCACATTTATATATTATATATATATATATATATATATATATATATATATATATATATATGTGTGTGTGTGTGTGTGTGTGTGTGTGTGTGTGTGTGTGTGTGTGTGTGTGTGAAAATATATAGAAAATAGGAAAGAACTGGTTAGGTAAATAATCCAAAGTTCTTAGTATTTTTTGTTATTATTTTTTTAAAAAATCAGACTTCCCTATCTAAATATTTTTGGCATCTGAAGGAAATAAATAAGGCACCTAAAGTAAAATGGAAAATTATAAATAGGACTAAAACTTGTAAAGCTTCGGATGACCCATGCCCTTTGTGCCTCCATGAGAAACTGCACATAATTAAGTTTCTAAATAATAAAAATCTATTAAACAATAGACATGAGTTAACGGTTTTTTTGCCGACATCATCAAATTTATGCACTGAATAATTAGCTAAAAATAAGCATACAATATAATAACTTCTATAATCCATAGCCCAAATAAATAGTTTAAATACCCTACAAAAAAGATAACCCTTTATGAAGTCGTCTAAAAACAAATGTTACGGCAGTTTTTATATGCACAAATCCCTTTCATAGAGAAATAAAATAAAAAATCCATAGACACGTAAAACAGACTAGGCGAAAACATCTTCCGTTTCAAATTTAGACACCCCCACCTTACCCTGACTTGACATCTATGAAAGTAACTCTATACTGATACTTATTATTAACACCCAACACACCCCTACCTATTTTAAACAATCCGCCCTGCCTGTTACCATGGAAATTTTGATTTCAATTATGAATATACTATTATAACACGTAAATTTCAGAAATAAGTTATTCCAAAAAAAATTTCGCTTGAAGATGGAACAGAGCTTATTTTAATTCAATTTAATTCAAATAGTTATATTGATGTTTTTCGGCTCGTGTTTTGATACATGAGACCTCTTATGTAGAGTTGGAATCATATTTTTAAATATATATATATATATATATATATATATATATATATATATATATATATATTTCGTTGGATATATGTGAGTTTGTGACCCTGGGTTTCACGCTTTAGCGATCGTCAGACAAACTGATTAATGTTTTAAAAATTTGGGTTTATGTAGATTGCGTGTATTGGTGTTATTGTGGAAGTGGTGGGGAAATTTCGTCGTTTTGTCATTCATCGTACTAACGCAAACATCGATGTATGCAGACACATATACATACTTAGAGCGCTTTCTAATAAGTACCGCGCTTATAATATATAAATAATTATACATATGTATATTTATTTATATTTATATACACTTTTCACACACACACATATATATATATATATATATACATGAATTATTCACACAAAAACTAATGCAAAGGTTAATGATTTAAATGGCGAGACATCCATCATCGCAAACAATTGAAATAATATACAAAAACCTCCGTATCCGTTATGAATGAAATGATCCTTGTTTATATAAATTTCTGCCGTATTAGTTCTTATTTTTACTACAAGCTTTCGTCTGTTCCTACAGACATCTTCAGGTATAGAATAGATGTTGTTCTTGTTTTTTCTCTTATTCTTATTTACTAAGAGAAAAAACATGATATTTTTTCACTGAACAGTTGAAAAAAAATCATACATATTTTACATAAATAAAGCCCTTCGTAAGGTGTGGGCTGTACTTGTGAGAACAATTTTTTTGTATTTCTTTAAGGCTTAGCCTGCCAGGAATTCCTTCAATGAGTTTATTGGAATCTTTTCCAGTCAATACGAGGGCTCCAACTACAACTGGAATTTTTAATGTCCTCATGCGCCAGAGTTTTGTGATTTCGATCTCATGGTCCTTGTATTTTGATAGTTTTTTGAAGATCTGCAAAGATACATTGCAGTCTGCTGGTACTGCCATATCAATAAGGAGGTGCATTATTATTATTATTATTATTATTTGATATGATATCCTGTCGAACACTTAGAAATTTCGGCCGATTATATGATGATCATATGGCAGCTCTAACTTGCAGCTTAGAGACACACACTTTCTCCAGCAATTGAGCTGTTTCAAGCAGCGCTGTCACCTGCACACTCCCAAGGATATCAGTTATCCATAATGCGTCAAGCGTAACAGAACGATTCCTGGAAATAGTTCCGAGTGCACAAAATAGAAAAGGGAAAAATGGTGAACTAGCACTTGCTACATTTCTCCGTATTTACCCTGCCAGATTTTGATACCTCTGTATTTGCCATGCCAAGCCTCGGTACATCTGAATTTGCCATGCCAGTTACCTCTGTATTTTTTCTGTCAGGTCTTCATAACTCTGTATTTGCCCTACCAGATTTCAGTACGTCTGTATTTTCCCTGCCAGGTTTTGCCACTTCTGTATTTGTCCCTCCAGGTCTTGGTACCTCTGTATTTGCTATGCCAGGTCTTGTACCTCTGTAATTCCGCCTGCTTCACTTTCATGATGTTTTACACTTGGATCTATTCAGGACTCTTCTTGGTCACATGTGTGATATCCAGTTTTACCCATTTGTTCTTTTGATACAATATATTACCATTTATTTTATTTGAAATCTGCGTCAAAGCAAGGACTTTTTACTCTCACTGTGAGTTTTTCTGAGTATGCGAGAAGTACTCAGGAGCACAATCTATTGTATCACAGATAGTAAAGTTTTCCTAGGATTATCTTAATCTGAGTACCCGTATTCTTTTTTCATCTTTCCTAGTGTTCATAGTATTACTGGAATATTGGTTGCGTTGCAATTTTATTATTATTATTATTATTATTATTATTATTATTATTATTATTATTTCATGCAATTAAATATTCCAACTAGATATTTGGTGTTTGACATTGGGGATTACGTTACAGTGGTTCTTCTCAAACCAATCTCAGTATCTACAGAGACACAACCAATGCCAGAGAGTAGAAAGCCTCGGTTGTTCTTGGATTCCTCAATTCATCTAACCTCTCCTAAAGAATTTCGAGCTAAATTCAAAACTTCATCAATCCTTTTACTTTTTTTAGTTCCCGAGTGAAATACTAGTATTTTTATTCGCTTTCTTCCATTTTCACACTAATGGCTATTGACGTGTTTATGTAGAAGATCTGTCATATGTACTCCCAATCTGTATATCAAATTCTCAGGGTATTTTAATCGTATCTGTACAGGACCAAACAACTATTTCTAAAGCAGCCTCTCGTGTATGTTTATACCATTTACTTCAGAGGGAATCCTGCTGTGTGGTTTCATACTATTTGCTTTCGAAGGCAGATTTTTGTGATGGTTCATTTGATTAGTTTCGATGATAGCTTCTTATGTGAATCATACCATTTGCTTTCGATGGCAGCTTCCTTTCTGAATCCATACCATTTCCTTATGATGGCTGTCTCTTGTGTGGGTTCATACCATTTACTTTTGATGGCAACCTCTTCTGTGTGTTCTACAATTTGCATTTGCGAGCAGCTTCCTGTGTGACAATGCCATTTGCTTTTGCGCCCAGCCTGATGTACGTCTTCATACAATATGTTTATATGGCTAAAACCGAATCGTTTACATATTCCTCATTTTCAGATTGTTCCTACACCGTCGTGGATATATATATATATATATATATATATATATATATATATATATATATATATATATATATATATATATCCGACGTTATTTACTGCTAATCTGAAAAAATATATATAGGGAAAAAATGAATATATATATATATATATATATAATTATTATTTATAAAAATTATAACATAAGTATGTTATAAAATCACTACAAAAATACCCATATATATATATATATATATATATATATATATATATATATATATATATATATGAAATGGACAAAGTCCGATAATTAATTTGAAGATGTTTTTTTTATGTTTATCTGTAAAAAGAACGTAAATATAAAAAAAATGTCTTAAAAATAATTGTCGGACTTTGTCCATTTCCTAATGTTTGGCGTCATTTTTTACATTTGGATACGGATCGAGCAGATATGAATGTACGAGAGAAAATCATGGAGAATTGTTGTTTAAAAACAGTAAATTCGACCGTGCTAACCGAATGCTTCTCTGTGGCGAAATCGTTAAAAGCACGTCAGTCTATATGACGCTTCCGTATAGGATACAGGTTCGATTCCTGTCGGAGGACGAATATTTTCTATGAACATTTCTCTGACATTCAGGCCGGTAAATGTCGTTAATACTGTTTATTATAAACAGAGCATTTACTTAAATATTTGTATCTATAAAAAAACGTATATATATTTGTTGTTGTTAGTCCAGTGTTCTGCACTTACTCATATTTTTTCTTCTTTCTCCGCATAGAAGCCAATCGATATCTTTGTTATTTTTGTCGTTTTTTAAAATTTTTTATATGATCCTTGATTGTTCCTTCTGCTTTTGCAATGATAAGCGATTCCGTTTCTATTTAAGGCGCTCTTTCTGCAAAAAATATTCATGAGTGTCTGTAATAGTTTCTATCAGATCTTTTAATACTCCCTATAGGAAGTTCTATTTTTCTCAAATTTTTCTTGTGTCCGCCATTTTTTCTTGATTGGTCACCCATTTAACATTTGCTGTACTTTTACGAACATTTTTCAGCTCTTTATTGCATTGCAGTGTCGGTGCCTACAATCGTGTCTGAGATGTCTAAAATGGCTTCTATATTAGCTTCTTCCATTTCCCTTTCATTTTACACATAATTTGTCGGTGTTAATAATAGTAGTTTTGTCAGATGGTGTGAAGCAAATTTCACTGGAGAATTCTTGTTAAAATGGGGATGATAATCAGCAGTAAACAAGTTATTATGGAAGCAGCTAAGTACGAATAGTGGCGGTGGCCATAGCGAGAAGGCAGCAAACTAGAGTAATAGTGATAGCGATAAAAATCTGAGAAGAGAAAAAAGGAAGAATTTTAAAAGAAAGGGAAAGAAATTTGAGGAAAAAGGAAAACGAAAAAGAGTTAATAAAGAAAAAGAAAAAAAGAAGGGGTAAGTACATATAATGTAGAAGATAAAATAATCGAGAGAAAAAAAAGAAAAATGAGTAAGGACAATAAAAAAGAAACAAAGAAAACAATTGAGACAAGAAAGAAATGAGAAAAGAAAGAAAGAAATGAGAAAAGAGGAAAGAATGAAATGATAATATCTATTCAAAAGAAAGAAAAAGTATAAAAGAAATATAGCAAATTAAAGAGAGACAGAAAGAAATGCAAAAAAAAATAGAAAGAATGAAATGATATCTATGCAAATGATAGAAAAATACAAAAGAAATGTGGCAAAGTTAAGAAAGAAAGAAAGAAAGAAGGATGGATACAACAATTACAAAATAAAAAAAATGAGAAAAAATAAAAAAATAAGGGAAATAAAAACACGAACAAAGAAAGAGGGAATTGAGAAAAGAAAGACAGAGATAAAAGTCAAAAGAAAGAAAGAAAGAAATGAGAAAAGAAAGAAAGAAAGAAATGAGAAAAGAAAGAAAGAAAGAAATGAGAAAAGAAAGGAGAAAGAAAGAAGTAAAAAGAAGTAAAGAAAGGAGAAAAGACAGAAAGAAATAAAAAAGAAAGAAAGAAATGAGAAAAGAAAGAAACAATGAAATGATAATATCTATGTAAATGAAAGAATGAAAAAGTACAAAAGAAATATGGCAAATTAAAGAGAGACAGAAAAAATATGAGAAAAAAAAAGGAACAAAAAGAATAAAATATCTACGTAAAAGAAAAAAGAATACAAAAGAAATGTGGCAAAGTAATGAAAGAAAGAAAAAGAAGAAATAATGATATGATATATGCAAAAATAAAGATAAAGACTATTGAAAAGAAAGAAAGGATACGATCTATAGAAAAGAAAGAATGAAAGAAAATTTGAATAACAATCAATGATGAAAGAGAAAAACAAAAAACATAAGATAAAAGTATGTTCATGAATATAGGAAAGAAATATGGAAGAGAAAATTACAAAGAAAAAGTAAAAAGAACAAAGAGAACGAGGCAGAGGTAATGAAAGGCGGTTAGAAAAGGAAGGAGAAAAACAATAAGTAAGGGATGACGTCAAAATCTCAAAAAGATGACGACAACCGATATGAAAAAAAAAGAAAAACTGGAAAGTAAAAATGCAACGGAGAATGTACAAAAAAAGGCAACAGAAAACGAAGCCATTTTGCAAACCTTGCCATAATGCACGCAAACAGTATCATCTCTAAAACGGTTTGTTGTTTATCTGCAAAAGACAAAATAGCAAAGCGAAGCTTCGTGCTAATGCAATAATTTTTGTCACAGTCGCATGCGCAAGGATAACACCGGTCGTATGCCCAACGTTGAGTACGCATGCGCGAACAACAACGCCTCACTTTATTATATTAACAAGCTGATATCCCAAATCAAACAAGCCGGAAGATAAGATTCTGTAATTTAGAAATAGGAGAAAAATCCACTAACTGGACAAAGAAAAATATATTTTTTTTAAATATAAGAATGGAAAGATAAAATTTTAAAAAAATGATTCTTCTTGGAGAATATTCATCAACCATGACTAACCAACTAAGTTTAATTTAAGTGCATTTTTTTGTTAACTGTCGAATAATAAGAAAAGAAACAGATGAATGACAAAAAGAAAATGATAAACGCTCCCAGAATAATATTTGGTTGGAACAAAAGTTCGCAGTCATTTTTAAGTGAAATTCTAAGACAATATTTAAAAGGTAACCAAAAACCTCAAAGGCGTTTTTGATTTATTAGGAAAAAAAGGCATATAGCAAATATGACATATCCTTAGTTCTCAGAGTAATCTCCATTGGCCACCAGAACCTTTTGCCCACGTGCCTCCAGCTTTGCAATTGTCTGGCCGTAAAAATCAGTTGTCTTGGACGCATGTCTGTCTGTGAGTGCCTGTCACAAGTTTGCTTCACTTGCGAAGGGTTTTCTTCGAATATGGTTGTCGTAGGAATGAAATATGTGTTAACCAGTTGGCGCAAGCCCCTGGAAGTACTGTGGATGACTTAATGTCTCCCATTCAAGTCGCCGTATGGTATCCCTGTCCACCCGTGATACATGAGACTGGGCATTGTCATGAAGGAACAATACAACTTACCGATTAACCAACTTTGGCTCCTTCTGCTCCACTGCCTGTTGCACACGTTACAACTGCTGCGAGTATAGGACCGCAGTGATGGTTGGGCTCGTTCATAGCAGATCATAGTGATTCACTTGTTGATTTGTCTACCAGATGCAGAACATGATTTTGCGTTGTTTTGGAGTTGGTCTTGCGGCGTGAGGAGGCACTGTGGAGTAATGGATAGCGGGTAGGCTTGAGGAATCAAATTCCAGTCGAATCGATTACATTCACTTACGTGCTAATATCCATCCTGTATAAGATAGGTTTGTGTCTTCTGAATTATATATATATATATATATATATATATATATATATATATTTTATATGAATCTTCTAAGATAAAGTAAAGTTAATCTGTTTAGGACAATGATTCCCAACGTGGCACGCATGATCCACTGGTTGGGAATGGTAGTATGTTGATGGAGACTAGTCTACCAGATGCAGAACATGATTTGCGTTGTTTTGGAGTTGGTCTTGCGGCGTGAGGAGGCACGGTGGAGTAATGGGTAGCGGCCAGGCTTGAGGAATCGGCTTACCATACCAACGTGAGCTCAAATTTCATTTTGCATTATTATTTCAGGATTAAAAGATTCAAGTATATTACTGAATAAGATTTAATTAAAATATTTTATATTTCTGCCTTTCAGTTCTATATTGCATGTTTTGAAACTATATATATTTAATTGTCTTTTTGTTTTGTTTTCCTCTTTTACGGACGCCATGTTCTTTGCAGGTTTGTTTAGAGACCAAGTTAATGGCCTTTTAAGCTTCCTTAACGTGTATTGCAGTAAAACTTTGAATATCTAATAATTAAATATTGCAGTAGGGGCACCAGAATTTTAGAAATACCAAAGTGAGGCATAGCCCAAAACCTTTTAGGAACCATTGATTTAGTAGAAGGAATAATAGCTATATAATTAACAAATGGTAAATGTATAATTCCACGTTGATATCTGGCATGTATAAACCCACTTGATGGACGAGTATCGCTTTCTTTAATGTCTTTTGCATGTGCCTGAATCTTTTTGCTGGGTTATAAAACACTCTTCAAATTCTCTCTAATCAACCTCGGACTAGTGGATTACATATGACCAGACGTAAGCATAGAACATGGCTACACAATGTCGGGTTCTTTGGGGAGAAATATTTCATATCAAGCACGCAAGATAAAATTATTTAATTACATTATTTACATGTTGACTATTGTGTTCATCTTTGTTTTCGTTAACACAACGTTCCGGCCGCCGTTTCCTCCGCTTACAGCTGCTGATTTTGAAGATTTTCACCAGCTGCTGTAACAAATAGAGTAAAGCTTCAGGTGAGTGCAGTCAGGCATGACGAGCATCAGAACTAATTATAAAGCTGGTTAGGTTTAAGGCTCTAAGTTCGTCACTGGTTCGTAAAATTGGTGCCATAGTAATTGTGAGTTCAAGGTAGTATGTACCTGGGCCCAAGGAAACAGTGTGAGCAATAACTGAGCACTATTAAAAACATTACATTCATTTACTTCCTAATACCCTTAGCAACGGTATGAATACTTTTCTTCTCCACCAGCTATGGGTAAATAGCAGGAAAGACCGGGTACTCTAGCCTTGGATAGCTTCTGGTTTAACCAGAAAGAAATAGCAACCTACTGCGGAAAAAAAAATCTGGCTAGTCAGTCATGTGTCAAAAAATTCATGATCGCCTAAGCGTGTATCATGCATGGCACATAACTGACTGGCTGACACCATTATCAATGATAATGTTTCAAACTTGACATTTGTAAATCAAGTGAAGTATAATTCAGTTTGGTCCTCGGATTGAGAAAACAGAGAGCCGAGTTCGAATTCCAGTCGAATCCATTACATTCACTTACGTGCTGATGCCCTTGGGAAACGTATGAATCCCCTTTTTCTCCCCCCACCTATGGGTAAATAGTAGGAAAGCCTGGCTTCTATAGCCTTGGATGGCAACTGGTTTAACGCAGAAAGAAATGGCAACCTACTGAGGGAAAAATATGGTTCGTCAGTCATTTATCGAAAGATACATGAAGAGCTAAGCGTTTATCACACATGTCACATTACTGTCTATCTGACCCATAGGAAAGGTATGAATCCTCTTCTTCTTTCCCCAGCTATGGGTAAATAGCAGGACAAACCGGCATCTATAGACTTGGATGGCAACTGGTTTAACGTAGAAAGAAATGGCAACGTACTGCAGGAAAGTATCTACTCGTCAGTCATTTATCGAAAGATACATGATCGCCTAAGCGTGTATCACGCATGGCACTGACTGATTAAAAAAAGAACAAGATTAGATATCCATAGACCTGGAAAGTGGGACGAGAACAACCTAACACTGTAGATTAAATAAATGGTTTCAGTTTGGAATTCCCTGTAAGTAGCCCGTAACAACATAGACCTGATGAAGGACGGACGACACAACGGCCGAAACGTCGTGATAATAACAACAAAGATGAGGACAATATTTTGCATGTAGATAGTGTAAACAATGATAAATTCTCATCCCAGAAATTGAAGAAGAAACTATGAAATTAGCATGAAAGTTTGAAATCAAAGATTTTCGGAAACACGCTACGCTATATTGCACTCGGATCTGGTTGTTAGTAATGACGTGAAAGCAGCAATCAGGAGACCAGTCTATCAGCCTTGGACGGGTAAGTTACATTTGACCATACAATACTGTGTTTTTTGAGAGACAGCAAACTCAAGTTAATACACACTCAAGCGTAGGCAGAGATAGCGGAAAGATGATGAAGTGGATGTCTGGCTAGAGATACGCCTGCCCGTCGTCCTGTTGCAGTTAAATGATTTTCAGCAGTTCGTAATACTGCACTTGAAGATACGGTTGCTTTGAAATGTGCCATGGACTTTGTACGGACTGATTCTGTTTTCCATACACTACATTGATTTGGGTGACTGCCTGCACTATGTCGTCATCCAGATCCTTGTCCGATTGTTCATCTTAACACCACTGGCGTATCATGTCTATCATGGCTAGCAATTAACGCTTGGGAAATCTGATACTCCCTGGATAGGTTGGAGGCAAGAGGGACAGGAAAGAAAAAAAAGTTTTTAAGTAGGTACCTCCACTAATTCGACATAAGTAAGTTTTACAATTAATTTTTGAAATGAAAAAGCTGCCTTGAAGCTTTCATTTTAGATTTAATTGAAAAATAAAGATTTAAAATTTACTATTTCCAGTCTGCAAAATGGCGTATTTCATACAGAAATTTTATTGATCGGAATCTTTTTTTTCAGTTAAAGCGATAACATTGGCCATTATAACACATTTGTAAACAAAATTTAATTCCCGGTTTTAAAAATTTTGCAAAAATGAAATATATATTTCTGAAAAAGTTATTTGTGGAAAATTAGCAAACTTTTAGTTAAATAATCTAATTTGAAACAAATATTACTTACTCATAGCATAAAATGTTGTATACAATAATTTCTTGTTTTTCTGACGTATTGATCTATTTCCCGACAGCCTAACGTGTCGACAAGTTAAGTATAGTAATGCCCAATTGCAAGCAGACGATACATTTTATATGAGGGTTATTTTCCGCAAGTCTTAAAACATTTGACCTTTTAATAATAACTCCATGTACAAATTCTCATACTTATAAAAATTAGGACGATTTTTGTGTGTTTAAAATACAAATTCGAAATTCTTTTAAAAATGTTCGTGGTCTTCCGATTTTAATAGTTTTACAGTATATTATTACTAAGTGTAGTTTTACTAAATAACGATATTTTTAAGAGTTACACCATTTAAAGTGTATTTTGTAAGATTTAAAAACTTTATTAATTAATCAATTTAAAATTGTAAAAAGTAAAAAAAATCTTGTAAAAATTCATTTTTGATCGAATTTTTTTTCTTCAGAGAATATCGTCTTTCATATATATTATTCATAAAAGCAATTAAAATCCTCTTTAATTAAATAATATCTTAGTTTTATTAGGTTTTTTTTTTATTTTTCGATCCAGGACAGATTTTCAGAAAGACGGGGTCCGATTTTGCAAAAACATCAGCGGTTTAAATTCTTCAAATAATTTTGCTTTTAATTAATATAGTCACTAAAAATTATCACGTTCAATTCTCTCAAGTTTTCATAAAATTAAGAAGCTGAAAGACATGTATACACAACGTATTTTTATCAAGATTTTCTAATAAAACAGATTCCAAAAGTAATTTCCTTTACTTGTGAATAAGTTCTGAAAACCTTATTAGAATCCAAAATTTATTTGATTTTTGCAAGAATTTTCAAATTGATGTGTCTATTATCTCAGAAAAGAGGCTAAATTTTGCTATGCTAAAAGTTAGTACATCCACTGAAGTAAGAAAAACAAGTATTTCAATCAAAATTTCGAATATTCGAAAAAGGAGTAAAAAAAAAGCATTAAATATTCAAAAGATATTTTAATCCTTCCTCATAATAATAACATAAAAATTTTGACGATATTTTGATTATATTTGGAGAATGTTTTCATCACGGTATACTGATTTTTAGAGATTTCGTGGAGGAACCTTTTTTTAGTGAAAGAATATTTTTAAACATCTTAAAATAATATCTTATAAAAGGCAAAAGACTGTTGTGACGGTTTATTGCTTAAAATGTCAAAATAACGTTTTATGAAAGAAAAGTAACTCCGATAGATATGATGAGATTAAACGTTTTTTGTTTTCTTTTTTTTTTTTCATTAGATACATTAAAAAACCACTGTCTTTGCCAGAATCAAAATAATATTGATTTTTATCATTTTAAAAGAAGTTCCTGTCCATGATATAAATACATTGACAAATCAACCGCAACATTAAGAAGTGAAAAAAACGGGCAATACCTAAGTACACAGTTATCAATGGTGTCAGGACAACTTCAAACTTTATTGATTGATGGTTTAATCTGTTTTTTACAGCTTATCAACCTCTTGCAGATTAGTTAAACCGAAAAAAATATTTTTAGAATGTAACAATCTTTTGGAAATAATAATGATTTATTACTACAAGTCATACTAATTAACCCATAGCTGGGGGACAAGAAGTGGATTCATATCTTTCCAAAGATATGCACAAGTGAATAAAAGGAACCTGAATCTGGTTTCCAATTCATAGCTGTTATCCATTGAACCGTATGCACATCCAAGCTTACAGTCAAGTGTTCACCCATGTAGGTACTGACAAGGCTTGACGTTGCTTAGCTTCGGTGATCATCCGAGATCGTACGGTGTTTCAAAGTGATGTGATCGTAAACCCTTCACATTTGTAAATAAAATTTCGAATAACTCTTTAATAAGTCAGGTATCGATTTGAAACTGTATTTATATCATGAACACGACCAGATTATAAATGATTAAAAATCAATATTTTTAGATCTTGACGAACATCGTGGGTTTTGGAAGGTCTAATCCATGCTTTTTTTATAGCATTTCACCCCAAGCAAGACGGGCGTGCCACTAGCACGCAAAGAGTTACAGAGAGTAGCAGCAAGAGTAAAGAGGCATGATAGAGGAATGGATGAAGAGAAGAACGAGGAATTGGATCATCTGGAGATGTCAATTGACATTGCATTTGAATAGTTGGAGATTATAGCTATCAGGGAAGCAAGTAAGAGGAAGGGAGTTCCACAGATGGGAAGTGTGAGACGAAGTTATTGGAGTAGAAGAGACGGCTACATTTAACTGTTTCGACAGTGACAAGGTGCGACTGATAGCCCAATGCTAATGAGCAAAATTTATTTTTATCCGGTTTTCTTTCCTTTTTTACGAACAGACTGTTTAATTTAAGTAGTACCGATAATTTTTCTTCTGCCTCCATTATACTGTGGAGGATCCTTACTGAGGAGGATGAACATTTTTCATATTTTTCATTATAAAATTCGTTAACTTGCTAAACAAACACAATGAAAGACAAACAGCGCGATTAGCTACTACACATACACACACACAAACACACACACAAAGATACGATTTTGGCGGGAAATATTTACGGACATATAATAAAACGTCGTCAAAATGGTGGAGTTATATAAGCGAGAATAAGGGAGGAATCGATTTATTGCAAACAGAACAAAAATAAATTCACCGTCCTCTCGAACATTCCCCTACCTCACCGCTTTGAATTCGAGAGGAGTGAATGTTATTATCTCCGGATATAGACTAACGCAGTGATCGACTAGTTCACCAATAAATTTACGACTCAGTGGCCTGCTTGGCGGTTGCGAAATATCGAGGAAGAATCCGAATAACGACCCTGCCAGCATACCCTCTGGATATCGGTGTAGATTCTGTCAGATGAGCGCACTCTCGGCTTTTAGATTTTAAAGCTTTCAAGGCTCAACTATCGACCTATCCTGCTTTCATCTGTTTTCTCTTCTCGTTACATCTCGCGAAATCTCGTCTTTCCGGTTTTCGTCTATTAACTCAATGATATTGTTTCTTCTCATTGAAATCAATAAATGGCAAGGGTATTTATATAGAGAGTATCCTTGACGGCTTAATGATGGAGTAGCACTCGAAAACTTTGGAAGATAAATATAGTAGACCATCGTTGACATAAGTTTAATAATACTAGTATGCTGCAATTGTAGGTGACTATCTGGTAGGTCCATATGTTCCCTTAGAACGTCTTACAGGTGCTGTTTGCAGGGACTTTATTTCGGACACACTTGCAGACCTGCTAGAGGATGTATCCCTGCTTATACGCATTTTAGTCACATTGTTCTCGACGCACTGACTAACATCTACCATGAAAGACTGATAGGTAGGACCGGCACCATGGCCTAACAGTTCCCCCGAACTCATTACTTTGAATTTTTATCTGTGTACCACTTAAAACAATCGGTTTATTAAGCAGGCTTTAATAATTCAGGGACGTGACATGGAGGCCAGCGAAACCATTCGACACCGTATGGGATTATTTTAAATGGTCCGCCAGTCAGTGATCCGAGAGTTGCATGACCGTGTAGAATCAAGTGGGGGACATTTTGAACATTTATTATAAGTTGTCCTTTTGGGCATATATTTATATAGACATTTTATCTTGTTTTGGTGCCAAAACCCCGCCGCTCCCCCAAATGTTGTAAAAGTATTTTTAGATTGTATCTTGGTTTGTACGCTAAACATCGTTTACAGTAAACCTTAAAATTAATAACTTAAACACAATGAATTTGCGGATATATTATCAAATGGACTATTGTGCTTGTGTTGATTAGATGTGAGGAGCCCGGACACAAAGATTGTAACAGTATTTTGGATACACCCTATATATCTAAACTACCCCGTATACTATTAAATAAAGAGTTCATTTCGGAATTCGCTGTCAGTGCCCAGATACATACACAGGTGAGAAAGGTCAGATGGCACAACGATCGAAACATTGTAGTAACATCAACAAAGATGTGAATAGTTCGAAATTCAATAGTGATAACTGCTCATCCCAGAAAATTCAGACAGAACAATTTTATCAAAATGTATTCGAAAAATTCTGAAATGTTATCAAGAAGACGAGACAAATGTATTCATATATATATATATATATATATATATATATATATATATATATATATATATATGTGTGTGTGTGTGTGTGAAAAGTGTATATAAATATAAATAAATATATATATGTATAATTATTTATATATTATTATATGCGCTCAATATCAGAGATAGAGCTAACATATTTGGTTTGTCTGACGATCGCTAAAGCGTGAAACCCAGGGTCACAAACTCACATCTATCCAACCAAATATATATATATATATATATATATATATATATATATATATATATGTGTGTGTGTGTGTGTGTGTCTAACAAAGAGATCAACAGTTTTTTTCATGCTCGTACCGTCTTGTGTATGAAGATAAACTATATCCACGCCCTGGGTAAGACGATAAAATACATCCGATAGCAAGGCCTCTGATCAGAAGGTTTTGAGAAGCTTGGAACCACCTCTGAACTGCTGGTGTTCCCAGGTCAACCCTGACCCAGGGTGGTAGCACCTGTAAGGGTCCCAACTATGAGCAAATAGTGAACCAAAAAACTGAGGTCAAAACATTATGAAAGTGTAAAAATTGGTTTTAATGCCGCCAGAAATAATTTAGTAAATGTATTATCCGCAATAAATCTTTGAAGAAAAAGGCATTACCACGATACATAATGATCAGCACTACAGGTTTTAAGAAATAAATATTACCAGCAATAAAAATTTTGTCGACATTAAATAATCTATTGGGGTTAGTATGTCGTAAAACAAAACAAAAACAAATCATGCTTTTCTTCCAGCTTCCCTTCAAGCATAAAACGCATTGTGTACAGACTTATATTGATATATGATAACATTCATTAACGACATACTATATATATATATATATATATATATATATATATATATGTTTATAAATTATTATATACATATGATAAAATATCATTAAAATATACTATATATATATATATATATATATATATATATATATATATATATATATATTTTTATATATATACCTATGATAAAATATCATTAAGATATACTATATATGTGTATATATATTAAATATATATATCTTTATATATATATATATATATATATATATATATATATATATATATATATATATATATATATATATATATATATAGATATATTTTTTTGAATGATATCTTTTCAAAAGTGGTCAATATAAAAGATGGAACCTCTATCAATATAAGTGTGTATACTGAGGGCAAAACTTTTTATGCTTCAAGGCAAGCTGGAAGGAAAGTATGATTTTTTGGTTTGTTTTGTTTTACGACACATTAACCTCAGTAGGTTACTTAATACTGACAATATATATATATATATATATATTTGACAAAAACAGATATATATATATATATATATATATATATATATATATATATATATATATATATATATATAAAAGTGGACATTGAGTTTAGCTTGAAATAGACAGTCGCCTCTGGATGTTGATATCAATGTACACAGTGCATATATATATATATATATATATATATATATGTCATTTTTATACACTATTTTTATATTTAAAATATATTAAACTAATTGTCGGTCTTACTCCATTTCATAATATTGATATATATATATATATATATATATATATATATATATTAAGAGAGAGAGAATGATGTAGATAGACAGACACACACACACACACATATATATATATATATATATATATATATATATATATATATATATATATGTATGTATGTATGTATGTATGTATATGGTGCGTTCATTTTTTTCCTGTTGGAGATACTATCTCCCAAGAGTAATTTAAATTTGTATATGATGTTGGTTTTCTGCAACACATTTATTTGGGAGGAATCATTATGAATGATTAAATTGAATATAATGAATGCTGTATAGTATATAATTACTCTTTTTTCCCCAGATCTGTTGTGGATATATTAGTACTTGTTTTTTTTTTTAGGATATTTACATCCTGTTTATAATTCGACGGTATTTTATTGCGATATAAACGATTAATATGTTTAGGATTATTTGAAGAAATATTATAGTATAGTTGCTTTGTATTAAAATTTCTAATAGGACACCTTATTTGTTCATTGATAATATAACTCGGGAAACTATTATTAATAAGATTTTGGTTTATATTTTTTAGTTTCCTGTAGAAAATTAGTTTTTTTTATAATTGCAATTTTATAGTAATTTGAACATTCACTCTTATAGTTAAGAGTGCACGAATTTATGTTAGGTTTTTTATAAGGAGAAATGGTGAATTTATTATTATTAGTGATAATCAATATATCTAGGAAAGAATTTTTATTACTCTTATTAAGTTCGTATGTAAATTTAGGAACAGAATTATTTTGGAATTGTTTTTGGAGTTGATATATTTCATCCATATTCTTGACTAAGATAAGGATATCGTCGATATATCTTAGCTAAATGAATCGTTGTTAAATTTATGAAATATATTATTTTCGAGACTAGACAGATAGAAATTACTAGAACTTGGGCCCAGAAATGAACCCATGGAAACACCATCCCGTTGTACGTATATATTATTTTTGGAATCGTAGAATGCAACTTCAGTAGTGCAAGCTAAGCGTATTTACCATAACATTAATTTAAGTTTAAGTCTAATTTGAAGTGGAGGGAGAGATGGATTATTATATATTTCTTTTAATAATATCAATAGTTTCACTAACGGGCACATTAGTGAAATAATTTTCGCCGTCAAGTGAGGCTATGATTTAATTATTATGCTTTTCTTTTTATAGTATTTGAATTATTTCAAGAGTTGATTTTATGCTATATTTACAGGGAATGTATGGTGTCATAAGTTGGTTTATGATTTTTGTTAATTAATAAACAGGAGTGGGAAATTAAGATATAACAGAACATAGTGGATAGTTTTGTTTGTGTGTTTTTATAATGTCATATATGTAATCATTATAATGTCATATATGTAATCATTATAATGTCATATATGTAATCAGGCTTATAATTCCCAACTATTTTAGGAAGTTTAAATTATGTTGTTCAGCATTATTTACTGTGATAATTTTGTTAATTTTAGTTCCTTACTAAGATTCCTGGTAATGTTTTAAATTTCCTCTGGTCATTAATTATTTGTTCCAATTTTGTATTATAATACGATTTGCTCGTATGTTTATTTTGTGTTTATATATATATATATATATATATATATATATATATATATATATATATATATATATATATATATATATCCGGATGATTTCGCACTTCCTTAGCGGCCATTTTTAGTGGTTTTGATAATATTTTTGAAAAGTTTTTATGACTCAGCTTCGAATAAGTCCATAAATTCTGGTGTTATTGTGATCTGTTCTTCATCTTGAAGGTTTTGATAATTTGATATAACATTTCAATTTCAGCTTCTTTCATTAGCCCTTTATATTTACGGAATATATGGCAGTTAGGTCCCAGGTTAAGCAATTCCCTTTGATGTTTAGTTAACACATAGATGGAAATATTAATAAATTTATCCATTTTCTTCGGAAGATTGATAGATCCTTTGTATAGTGTATAGAGTCTTTTTTAAAAAAATGTTTAACCGTTTTTGAATTTCTGATACGTTAATAATTTCTGTAAGTCTATGTACAATTTCTTTCTATTTATCAGAAGTTGCGAATTTGAATTTATTCTAAATGTCTTGTATTCTACTATTGAGAGTGTTTAATTTGTAATTAGCTATTTCAATTTGCCTTTTCACAAGACTACATCTAAAATTCC